GCTGAATTTCAATACTTTTTGAGTAAACAAATCATATTTGAAAAGAACTCCATATTTCAATTACAAATCTTATTTATGTTGATATATTAAAATTATTTCCACTTCTTTACTCAATATAATAATTATAATAATAATAATAATAATAATAATAATAATAATGATCCTGGTGCAAAAATTACCCAAGACTCCATTAACTTAATACTGGACTAGTCTGTTCAAAATGCATTTCTATCTGCACTTCAATGGATGTGAACTGTTTTGAAATTGTTTATGCAATTTTATATGAATGAAGGTCACTTCTAAAATTATTAAACTTCATACATAAAAGTGACCAATATTATGGTCAGCAAATTAAAGTACATTAATATCGTATAGTGCAAGTGATGGTTTGTTTCATTGTTAATAGTGTGTAATCTACAACATATTAAGTCGATGGGACCTAAATTGGTTTTGCAGAAATGGACCAGCTCACATCTCGGCAGCCATTTTCCTCACATATTCTCTTTACTTTTCAGTAAGATTTCCTTTAACCTTATTGACATAAGTATTCTTAAGTTTTTGTTTTTGAGTGTCTTCTGAATATCTTGTAGATATAGAGTGTGTTTTACAAACAAACATTCTTCTTTAACTAAGTTTTTCACTTTAGATGTTAACAGTAGCATATCAATGGGGAGGGAGGAAGGGTCAACAACAGACCTCAGTGTAGATTTTCCCCTCTTCTTTTTTTTGTTTAGGTAATGAACTTACTGTTTCATCATTTAGGACTTTTATTATTAGAACCTTTCCTAACCCTAAGTGATAGTTTCATCTTTCAATGTTTATCACATATTTACAAAACAATTTTAATCAATTACCATGTGTAAACTCTTTGTGGAAACTGGCATTTTCTTACAGCCATGCCTGTCCATAAACATGTTGCAATCTTATTTTAGTATCGGGCCCTGTGAAGAACAGTTTTGCATTGGGAGAAACTTGGTGAATGTTCAAATAGTTCTTCAAAAAAACAACATGGCCATCAGTATCATGGAAAAGGACCACACAAACAGAGAATGTTCAATGTGTATATGATCTTGCCATACCCCAAAACTGAAAATATTTGAACACAAACATCCAGAAACCGATTGTAATATATGGCTTATTACATGTAGCATTAATTCTTAAATATATAAAATTTTCCTTCAATTACATAACAATTTATTCTGGAGTCATCTGTTGACACCCTTCACCCCACTGGTGTTCTCCTCAAATTGGAATGACATTGGTATGCAATTGTTAAGAATTTTTCAATCTCTAAATACAAATTACAATTAAAGTTTGTATGAAATTCATTTTTAGGAATATTAGTTTCCGTTACAGATACTGTATTTTTGCTTCTTGTCAATGATGTACTTCACTTATTTTGGAGTATACAGCTTCCAAGGTCTAGGGTAAATTCCACACCAAAAGGATTTCTTAATGTGACAAATGAGTTTATAATTGTTAGAATACACAAGAATGTCCTGATTTTGTTTTTTCTTACTTTAAAATACAAATAAATTTCTGATGACTATATCTTTGGTATTCAAGGTGAAAAATATCAATGATTCAAGTTCAATATACATTTTTAGCCATTTAAAAAAGCCAGACCAAAACATTTTTATTATAATTTTCAAGTAATTCATGGGATTAATTCCATTTCTTACATAAGTAAAATTTCACCAGTAATAGATGGGATAAATATAAATTATTATTGGAATGAACTTTCGGCTTATTTCAAAATTATCAACCACGTTTTAAAAAAATGGTTGCCTGTATCTTTTCCATGTATTGCAAATGACATTTCACATTTTGACATGAAGAAAAACAGTATCCATGTCGTGTAAATAACATTCATTCCACTAAGAAATCGTATAAAAATGAACACCAAGTCAGGATGTGTAAACAAATCACCCTTTCGTACTGTGCATTTAATGATCCTAAGAATCCTCAGGATGATGAGTAACACAAAATCTAATTGAAACTAAAATGTACAATTATTCACAGAAAAACATTTGAGAAATCATATTCCAGATAATACACTCCAATTTGTACAATAGTTTAAGTAACTCAATCATATCCCTTTAATTTTGATTAAAGAGTATATATGTACAAATTAGTTAATTTTTTTTGCCTTCAAGGTATCTTACCAACTGGCTAGAATGTTCTGGTATGTTTTCATTCTCACTCATTAGCCACACAACTGAGACATCAAAGCAATTGAGAATTACAATATAAAGAATTCCAAATCACAAATTATTTGTTCTGCACAAAGCCAACATTTCATATCATAATTCATAAAATTTTGAATGTAGTAGTTTTGCAAATGCACAGTACACCTTGCCAAACAACAGGATTTTCTTTATGCAGAAAATTCAGCACTAAAAAGATCTGAATTAAAATTCGTGAGAAAACATCTTCTTTGGTTTGAAACACTATGTTATTTCTTGAACATTGTTTAACATTCGTGCAGGGAAACAGTTAAGAGAAAGTTTTAAACAATTTTTGACCAAGATAACGTCAATGATAAACTGGAATGTAAGTCAATGCAGTAACGTTCAGTGTATCAAAAACAAAAAGAGAATATTTTTAGCATTAGAAAAAATAGTGAGAATCTGCTAATAATAATGGCAAAATCCATGAATACACATCTTATATCAATAAATATAACAACTATTTACAAAATGTACTTAGCACATTGAAGATATCAAATACGATAATACAGCAACGAATTACATTCCAAATAATTATTCCTCAACATGTAATATTGTGCACTCTATTAAGAAGAGAGTATTCCATCACAAATTTAAATCCACTTAACCTGATGCATATCTTGCATAAATACTAAAGTAAAAATTTTATAAAATACACCGAAGTAGGAAAACAAATTCACAAATATAGTGACACGAAAAGAAAATATTATACTTTCCACAAAAATTGATTGATTTTATTTCATGAAGGAATACTATAATATTAAAAAATAAGAATATGGAATTTTGTTAAAAAAATTTGCACAATAAAAAGGAAAAGAAAAATTGGGAAGAAACAACAATTACAAAAATTTCAGAAACAAGAAAAGTCTGTCAATAAAAAAATATGCCTTTAGGGTAAATCACTTAAATCCTGGCACAAAGGCAAATTCCTGATTTAAAAGAAAGAAAAAAAGAGAGGAACAGAGACATGAGAGAAAGAAATTAAAAATCTTCTGAGGAAAGAATAGTACAAGTAATAAATTTCATTTACAAGATTGTGCAGGATATCCCTGACATAACTTTAGGCTTCACTTTATGTAAAATTAAATCAATGCGAACATTAATATAGATCCACCATTAGGTGTTCTCAACTGGAAGGTCTGAGTTCTAAGAAGTATGGTTACCCTTAAGGTAGCTAGTTAAATTGACACGAACACATTACAGATATTTCTTTTGTGCGATATATTTCTAAAACTTTACACAGTGTATTGTGTATGTATTATGTGAATTATATGACCACATACAAGACTTACTTCTAGCACAGTTGTTTGTTAGACACCCTGAACTTTGCAACACACAAAAAGTGCTCTTTAAAACAATTAGAGGATATGCTTCTGAAATTACACATATTCATGATTTAACATTTCTCAATTCTGAATACCATTATACACACATTAAAAATAGGTCATAACAAATTTTGCTGCAAGCACACAAGAAGCAAGAATTTAATTCCATAAAGTATCTACATGTTGAAATATAAATAAAAACTCAGAGGCATGGAAACTGAGGAGCAAAGAAAAATGGCAATATTGCCCACAGACACAACGTCCAATATTGTAAACTAAGCTGAATTCTTATTCATAAGGATGCATGATAATAAACTAGCGTTGAGCATTTGGAATTAGCATCACAAGATGCAAAAATCCAATGAGAGGTCACCATCAGGTGCCCAGAATCAGAATTATGTCACAGAAATTTTCCCAATGACATTCTGAGAGGAACTAAACATTGAACATCTGCACAGCAGAATATTCTATAAATTGTTGCACATACTTTCAAATGATATTGCTACACATATTTTCTAACGCGTGCTACAGAAATTTTTTCAATTGTTTCCTCTTACAAATTAATTATCACAACCCATTCTCACTTTTTGTGACCATGGATGTGACTCTGCTGCCTACATATCAATCTACAAATATACAACACTAAAATAGTTTAAAAATTTGCTAGACATTACTATATCCTATGAAATGTTTAAAAAAAGTACACGCTCACACATTTCATCAGAATGGTAAAAAACAAAACAAAACAAACAAACTGGATTTGGAATGCAAATGAACAAACATATCCTGTATGATAGTCTGAAAATCTGAGAACAGCACCCAAGCAATCAGGAAAAAGGGTGCATTTGCCACAGCCAGAACAACGCAAACATAACATGGAATATACAGAAGTATAAAATTCTTACCATCTGAAATATCTTAGGTGTAACGATCCATCACACAGGCAGCCAACAAAGCTTGTCCATCAAATTTGACATTTGCACACAAGCTGGACCCAAACATACAATATTTAACTGCAGTTTTGTTCTCTTATTTTCATAATTTTACTGACAATTGTGAGAATACAATGATTCTGCACTTGGAAGCATTGAAATATTTAGAAATGGAAATCAGACGTTTTGAAATGGAACTTTCCTGTAACGTCAACTCTGAATTACAAGAGATTTACTGTTTACATTTGACTTTCCTCTTTTGCAAACAACAGTTTATATCACTGGAGCGGTAGCAATTTATATCTGTTTAGTTTAAATGTATTCAGTTTATTCTCCAGACAACATAAGTAGTAACAAGGAAACAATTGAGCCATTATTTTTGTGACCTATTAATATTCTTAACAAAGAAATAAATCACTAGCTTATTGGAGGCCAGAAAAAAAGTGTTTTGTAATATGACAGACAGATGTAATGACTATCATCACAGAATTATTAGTTTAGAATATTTCAGACAACTTCTTGGATTGATCTCCCACTACTTGATATATATGTATAATTGTTGAGAAGTTAGAGAAATTGAGTAACAGTTAGAGAAAACATCCATATAATAAATAAAAAATTATAATACACCTGTTACAGAAACTAGACCTGTTCAATAAAAGAGAACCTCAGAAATACACAAAGTATTGTTTTTTATAATTGAAGCAACAGACATAGTCAAGCAAAATAATTAATTTGGAAGAAAATGTACCAAGGGGCCGTCCACAAATTACATAACTCAAATTTGGAGTATTTTCAATACCACCTCTCCTCCATGTAACTCACCTGTAATGTCGCGCTTGAACCCCCCATTATAATTACGTAATACTTGCAACCCCCTTGTAATTCAAGTGAAAATCAATTATAGCACAGTAAAAACAATAATTTGTATTTACTTTGTGTTGTGCATTACAATTTACGATAATTAAAATCAGAATTAGGTGATACTGACTGCACCTAACAATAAAACTAGAGGCAAGAAGTGAGTGAAGGAAGGACGCATAAATGAAAAACAAAAGTATCACAAGCCTTGTACACACTATCCCGGATGATGCATGGGCAACTATACTGCGCCAATTTAAATTGGTAACAGTTTTTATTATTTTCTTTGTAATCTTACAGATACAATAAAAAAATCAATGAAAACATATTCCGATTTATTGTAACAATTTACATCTAACAACTTCATTTCATTTGTTTTTAAAACAAATAAAATGATTAATATTTTAATGTTTTAGAAAAGGACAAAAAATAATTATTTCAGCAAATGTTGGGTGGGGATCAATGTATGTAACAATAAAGTAATATCTCCCTACTCCTAGGTAACGCCACGTAAGACAGCCTAAAACCCCCACCCCCTCCTTTTGAGCATTACATAATTTATGGACGACCCTTAATGTCTACTTCTCAGCCTCCAAAGAGCTTTTAACTTCAATACACACAAAGTGCATCACAATGATCAGTAAATACTTCAGCATCTAACTAATATCCAGACATTTTGCTATTATTTTCAGTTTCACAAGCAAAATTTGGCAATAATACATGTTTATGTTCTGAATAAAAGCACAGCCACCTGACCCAACTGAAAATTTATCCTGGTTCATTCTCTTGAAAGTGCTATCACAAACACTAGTGCAGAATTAACAAGACATGTTTTGTTGACTGTCTTCCCAAATTTTCAGACTAACTCGTGCATCTATGAAATCTGCAACTCCTTGGATAATTGCTCGTAAGCAAACACATATACTTAGCTGGCTTAAACATAGGGCAGAAGTTGAGTATCTTTTACAGTTCACAAATGCCAGCAATATGATTAGTATTCTGGTTCTTCTCCTCTTTGAAATACTTCATTCTTAAATGGACATGGATGAATGAACTGCACTGGCAAGGGAGCATCCAAAAACTGTCTTTACAGAGTTCGAACAATACAGGAGACAATAAATCTAGGTAGGCTAGTCAGTCTTTTCAACCTCACAGAACGATTATTCACAGTGACAACAAGTGACGGCACCCACAAGAACCACACTTGTCTGTCAATGGCTGCCCAGAGGTAGTTCAGTGTGCATGGCTGTTTATGAAATTTAGTGTACATTCTTGGAAATTAAGCTCACTGGCGATAACTCTGGGCGGAGAGCACTGTGCTCCCCGGTGTGACGTAATCGCCAATCATTAGGCTGTTGTTGACAGGATAATGAGATGTATTTCCCAGCACTAATTGATGGGTTTGCTGAAAAAAATTTGGATTCTAAATTCATTCAATTGGAAACAGTTCATTGATAATTTAAACAGAAAGCATGATAAGTGGAGCACATGATTACTTACAGGGGATGTAAATAACGTGGGAGAAATTCCACCACCAATCAACTGGGCAGCTTGTGTAGATGTAGCTGTTCCAGATCCAATTCTCTGTCGACCAGTACTTGTGATGGAACCTGGATGGATATTTGGTTGGCTTCCTGATAAACAAGAATAAAATTATAGACTTCTGTACAGTAACAAATTTGTTTTTATTAATAAGCAAAAATGATATTGAAAGAAGAGCATAAGAACATGGAATAAACTAGTATTTATCACACACAATGACAAAAAGTTATCATGAATGAACTGCCAGTAATTTCCCAGGCGGCTAGAAACAACGATCAAGTATACTCCAAACCATTTTGGTTAAAAAAAAAGGAGAGAGAGAAGAGATAGAGAATATAGAGAGACAGAGAAGAGACGGAGGGAGAACGGAGAGGAGAGTCGGAGAGAGAAGAGAGGAGAGAGGAGAGAAGAGAGAGAGAGAAGAGAGAGGAGAGAGAGAGTCGGAGAGAGAGAGAGAGAGAGAGAAGAGAGAGAGAGAGAGAAGAGAGAGAGAGAGAGAGAGAGAGAGAGAGAGAAGAAAAAACAACAACAAAACTATACCTATTGTACTTGTCAGTAAAATCTTGTTAATTATTAAACAAACAACTTAATGCGCAAACGCTTTTGGAACTTGATGAACACTGCTTAAAACTTTGCTTTTGATGTACAACAATAAAATATGCATTTGAATTTTTCTATTATCAGTATCTGTCAGTGAATATTCAATTTAATAAAAAATTGTTTGTATAATACATAAGAAGCTGTCTTCAGAGAATACACAGCTTGCTATTGGACAACAATCCTCGTTTTTATAATTTGATATTTCTTTTGAATGTGCGAATGCATTCAAAAGAAATATTAAATCAAAAGCAATTCATTGTAATCTATGTGTATGCATTTTCAATAATTCTGAATGTAAATCACCATTCCAACAATCAAATATTTTTTAAAAACATTATTACATCCTTACCATGAAACAAAATTTGGTTCTTCCAATACTTTTAATTAGTAATAAATTCACCTGCTATTCCAACTCGGCAGCCTTATAAAAGTCATAAAGGGTAAGTTTCAAGTTTGAGGCCAACTCAGAAATTTCTTTAGCTTTTCTAACGGTTTTACCTTCACAGTGAAAACAATATGAAATCTTTCTAAGAATTTCTTCCAAACCCCCTAAAATGACAAGTTTTAAACCAGCGCGAAAAGCATTAACAACACACTGTTTTTTCTGGAATTCCTGCTGCAGATTTTATTCTACATTGTTGGGATTTGTTTGCATCTATTTGTAGCTGACCTCTCAGATGTATGGATAATTTCTGGAAAGCAAAATGCTCTCATTATTATCATCACTTAATTAAAGATTTCAGAAGACAAGTCCAAGAGCACAAAAAACAAATTTTCTGGAATTAGTGCTGAATGAAACTCATGTTTTATATCATACCAGTGGAAAGGCATGTGCTTTAATTTTTCTGTGCTTTTTCTGTCCTTTTCTTCCCAGGACAGCAATGTTTTCATGGTAAAAACAAGGCTGTATTTTCATTACTTTGTTTTAACAAATTTACACTGAAGATAATGCATAGTAATGTTAAATTATGTAGTGAATTTTTCACAACTCTGTTAGACCAAACCCACATCAAAGTGGACGTTTCTTTTGAGGGACATCATGATCAGTCTTAGGCAAAACTTCTATGTAAATGCTGATCAGTATTTTTAAATTTGTATTGTTATTATTATTGTAATTATATTTTATTGGCAAAATCACATCAAACAATGAATTTGGTAGATATATGATAGGTAACATCTAGAGAGAAATCTGTCAGAATAGAAAGCTTTTTAAGGAATCACCAAGTTCAGCCTTAAATAGGTCTTCCTATACTAAATTTTCATTCACTTGGACTTGCAGATCACACAGTTTTGCTGTACTGACTAATTAAAGGGAACTAAACACAGTTGTTAAACCACTGTTTCAAGACAAAATTTGAGTACAAAACTTGTAAATTAAATTCTTGTTACAATATGGATCTTTGTAACAATTTATTTAATGTGCTAAAACAAGATTAAGGAATGCACTTAAAACTTATCAGGGTCTTAAATCTCTGAACTGGACATGAAGAATTAATTCGGCATGAGAATTATCTTTGTATTTGTGGCTTAAAGAGTTTGCTTATTATCTTGCTTTGAAAACTTAACTGCTGTGGGTGTCAATGGGCAAGTCATGATAAATTGTCATCATAATAATAGATTATTGTATAGGGCAGGAAGAGGGAAGATGCTAATGCATTACTCTTGTAAGCGGGACACAATGACATCCTCACATGAAGTAACTTTTAGGCTGGGAATACCCAGGTGAATAGGTTAAGGAATTTTAAGCGTGTTAACAACAGAAGTGTTATAAGCAGCAAGTTTTTCCCCTTCTAAAAAATAATTTCTGTCATTCAGTATAAGCCTCTTTAACTGTTTTTATGATTCTTCAACCACGCCAAATGCTTTTAATTAAATGTCAAAGGAATATTGAAAGCATTTCAGCATTCATTTTGTGAAGGTCTTCTTTTAAAACAGAGTTGTTTCTTCCACTAACTCCATGGACAATATAGAAACATGTGGGCTTTTGATATTTTTAGTGTCGCAGAATAAGGTAGGATTATAGCAGATAAGAAAAATGCAACTCTCAACCTACATAGAATCTTAGACACGTGAGAATGGTTTTGAAATTTGCTTGATAGCCAGCCAATGCTGGTCATATCCTGAAATCCACATTCGGAGATGAATACAATTTGTTTCCCTCTCATTCAAGCTACACATGAATTAACACAAAAAAATTCTCACGAAGACTGATGTTGTCATGTTCAGATCATATCTGATAATTTGCAGAAAGCAGATTGGTAAAAACACCTTTCTAGCAAGACTAGTCTCATTCTTTCACAAAAGAGAATGAAGTGTAGCAGTGTTATCATTTGCTTCCGGAGACAACATAGATTTTAGCTTGGTAGTGTTATCTTTGGTTTCCAAAGACAACATAGACCATGGTTGCAGAGGCGAAGCTTTATGATGTTTTAATACGAATTGTTGTGAAAGTGAACTCTACGCAAGTGAGAATTGGTCAAAGAAAGGAAAAGAAGGAAGGCAAAATAAAAATCAACTATGTTAATAAAGAACAACATTCAAATCATGTTTGGAAACTGATTCTAAGATAATAACAAGTTATTATTCAAACTATAAAAGAAGTATTCATTCCCTGTAAGAAAGGACTTATACATAGGTGTGCGCAAGTGAGAGGAGGGGCGTGGGGGGAAAGGACATGAACATTTTGAAAGGGGCATTGTAGTCCTAAAAAATAAAATATTTCATTTCCGCAATTATGTTTAATTTCTCTCTTTTCTAAGCTGATACTTGGGGAATTGATACCAACATTTGGGAAAGAAGCCCTCCAAACTATCTGGCAACCCTGTAAATGGTTCTATATAAAATCAATTTTATTTCTTAATTGTATCATTAAATTTATAATTTTATTTTCCTTATACCATATTTTACTTATTTACAACAAAAACAAGTCAGTTAATACAGTTTAATGAAAAAAGGGGCACAGAAATGTAGTTGGACTTCCCTCTTCTCTTAGGCTGTGCATGTCCATGGGCTTATAGCGACTGTTCTGTTCAAACGATCAAGATTTTACCATCATAAGAGAAGGGGACATAATAGCTGTACATGTTCCAAGGTGTGAGATGATGTAACTATTGAAGCTCAAAGGCAACCGGTTTCTTTTTCTTTATTATTATGAAATGTAATAACTTTCAGGATATGAATGCATAAATTGAAGAGTTCTTTCTAAACATGCTGGTGCCACCTCTTATGCTCAAGCAAGTAAGAGTGATGCACTTGGCAGAGAATGATTACGAACAAACTAAAAGGCATTTACTTTGGAGCTCAGTAAACATATAATGTAGGGAGGTAAGACACCATTGAAAAAACCTTGAAACTTTATGCACTTCACTATACAAATCTGGGAATTCAACATGACTAAGAAAAATATCTCCACAACCTTCAACAAATTGATTTAGGGATTGATGTCTTCAAAATTCTTCAAATGTTCCAAAATAAAGGATTAAGAAAAATATCTAATGTTATGGGTGTCGAGAGTGAAAAACGTTTATTGTTTACTTTTCACACCATGAAATGTTAAAATTGTTTTTAATGATTGTGAAGACAGTTGTGCCATACATAAAAAATATAAACAAATAAACATTATTTATGGTAACATCAGAAAATTCACAATTGTGATGGACTTTTTCTGCAAATAGTGGATATTTTTAAAAGAGGCTTCTTTTCTAGAAAAACCAATGGGATGTTAAAAGCACAACTTTTTACTCCAGTGTAAGAGAATACAAGTACTTAAATAAAAAACAATAGGTTGTTACATTGCAAGATAAATGCGAGGGAGCGAAACTTCTTTTCCTCCCAATTATCTGAAAGATCAATCAATACCTTGCACTTGTTACGCTTTCACAAATATTCATTTCTGACAGCACAATACAAATACTGAATTTTAGTAGGTAAGCAACAGATTTTACACAAGATCTTTTGAACTTATGAATGCAATATACAAGTTTAAATGAATACTATGTGATCAACAGTTCATACTCTCATATATAATTTGTTATACATATATTACTATAATTTTGCAATTTTAGAAATTCCAGGGATTTTAATGAAAATTGGACCTACGCCATATTATTATGTGAACTTTGCTCTACTGAAGCAAGAAATTTAAGGCAAAAATTTTGATTGATTTTAGAGAAAATTTCCATAATGAACTAGTGCTTTCATGTAAAGTAGCACAAAAATTAAAAGCTCTGTTTTAAATTCAAGGGAAATGAAATCACCCAAACTACATTTTGTGAAATTCTGTGTATAGTTTTGGATAATGTTGCTCATGTGCCAATACACACCCCTACACAGACATGTTTTTAGAACAGAAAACACTCAGAGACTCACTAAATCATGTGTTTTGCATCAAAAAGTCAATACTTTTCCTGCAGCATAACATAACTTTCTTTATATAGTATAAAAGTAGTATAGAGTATAAATATAGTATAAAAGAAGGTAAAAAGGCTATCTT